TATGGCCTAATAATATTCCATTGTATGGATTTACTGTATTTTTTTTTAAAATCTGTACATCAGTTAATAGACATATGGGGGGTACCTGGGTGGCTCAGTCGTTAAGTGTCTGCCTTTGGCTCAGGTCATGATCCCAGGGTCCTGGGATCGAGCCCCATATGGGGCTCCCCACTCAGTGGGAAGCCTATTTCTCCTGCTCTCTCACCCTGTTTGTGTTCCCTCCTTGCTGTCTCTCTCTGTCAAATAAATAAATAAAATCTTTCTTTTGACAATTTTTTAAAAGATTTTATTTATTTATTTATTTATTTATTTGTCAGAGAGAGAGCGCACAAGCAGGCAGAGAGGCAGGCAGAGGCAGAGAGAGAAGCAGGCTCCCCACTGAGCAAGGAGCCCGAGGTGGGACTCGATCCCAGGACCCTGGGATCATGACCTGAACCGAAGACAGTGGCTTAACCGACTAAGCCACCCAGGCATCCCTAAATAAATAAAATCTTTGAAAAAAAATACACATCTGGGTTTTTTTCCACTTTGGGAAAATATGGGTTGATTAGCTATTTTTTAAGGTTATTATCTGGTTTGTGAAAGAAATATAGAAGCACTCACACTAGTAGACACACACATATGCGTGTATGTGTATCTTGAGTCTCTTGGAGTTAGGGGGAAAACCAGTATACTATCCTCTACGAGTAGTAAGTTCAAAATACTGATTTTAAAGTAAGGTTACCACCTTATTTCCCATCCCCATAACGTTTTTTTCTTTTCTTTAGGAATGTCAAATTAGGAAAGTATCAAAGAAATATTTTAGCTATCTTCAGTGGTTTACGGTGATTCAGGAAACGTTGAAATACAAAGGTTAATTTGCATTTCATAAGGTGGTTTGATGGATGCGTGCAACATTCTTTAAGTCTCAGCAAAAAATAAAGGGTTAACTAAGTCAGCAAGTTTTGATTTCTTTGTTTAAAACAAATATTTTGTAATGTTGGTTTCATGTTATAAAATGTATAAAGTCACAATTTAATCAAGTATGATAAAAACAGCATGTCAGTCAATATATTACTCTTTTGTATTTCAGATAGTTCCCATGATTTTTCCTGAAATCCAAAACGTAAAGAATGTGGTTTTTTTTTAGTTTATTATTTTTTTTAGTCATCTCTACACCCAATGTGGGGCTCCAACCCATGACTCCAAGACCAAGAGTCACGGGCTCTTCTGAGTGAGTCAGCCAGGTGCCCCTAAAATGCAAAGAATGTTCAATTCACACAAGCCATTACTTTCATTATTGCCACTACTCCCGATGTGGTTTTCATTTCTGTTTTCTTCTTTAAATTGGGAGTCCCAGTCTGGATATCATGTTCCATTCTGAACCTGACCAACCTGACCAGTGGTACATCTTACCCCTTCCTCCCTTGCTTTTAAAGAGATGATACTCCATTGCTACTGTGGCTGTGGCACTTTATTCATCAAGTGCTTATTGTCGATTGAAGTGCAGCCTAGTGTGAATCCCTAGCTTTGAGTAAGCAGGTCTTTATGGAAGCAAAACAGAAAAAAAGCCCTGAGCTGGACACCAGTCTACAAAAGAATGCTGTGTTAGGTCACAGGACTTTTGGCCTTACTAATAATTTTTATTTCATTCAGATAGCAGTCATTGGATTCTCTGTGTGCCAGAGCCGTTCATAAAAATGAGTGAAAGTTTAGCCCCTGCCCTTGGACAACTCGCAGTCCAACAAGGCGATGGGTGCTTGATCTGTTAATAAACTACGAAGGTCTGGTAGAGGCACATGTGATATTGTTGCATCAGTCCAGGTTTCTACTCCAGACCTCACGGATGATGTCATCAAGATACTCCAATTCTGCGATCTTAATGGAGTACCTATGAAAAGAAGAATAAATAGAGATGAGCACGAATTTCATTTTCTCATTAGCTTGATTCTTATTCCAGAAAGAGACTGGAATAGAGATTCATTTAGCCTCGTTTCACACAAATTATGAGTACTTGGAGTGGGACTTTTTTGACAGTGAGTTCTAGCAACAACAAGATTTTTTTAAGTAATTGGGGTGCCTGGGTGGCTGAGTGGGTTAGGCCTCTGCCTTCGGCTCAGGTCATGATCTCAGGGTCCTGGGATCGAGCCCCACATCGGGATCTCTGCTCAGCGGAGAGCCTGCTTACCCTTCTCTCTCTGCCTGCCTCTCTCCCTACTTGTGATCTCTCTCTCTCTGTCAAATAAATAAATAAAATATTTTTTAAAAAGATTTTTTTAAGTAATTGAATAATTATATTTCTTTATGAATCTTTGAGTCACAGCCTCTTATCTTCATGCTCATCGTTTCGGCTGAGCCAATACAAGCATGAGAGTTGTCAAATAAACTTACATTTTTTGCGAAGTAAGAGACCAATGAAAAACTTTAAAATGTTTTAAAAGTTAATTTTCCCAACTGATTTTTCTTCTTAAAAAGTGCTACCATCTGACAGGTAGTATTTATGCTACTTGCTCAAAAAGGCAACAATTTTATGTAACTTTTTTGTTAGAACCTGCCTCAATCTTTGATAGCAATCTATTGTTAGACAATTCTTGTTACACAATAACACCCCTTTGTTCCACTGTCCATCAGTTACCTACTGACCACACCAGAGAAGAGACAGGAAGCAATGCCTCTTAGTTGAGCTCCATTTAACACTTCAAGATCAAATGAAAGATTCTGAACAAACACAAAAACACAACCAATTACATGGTTAAATCTGCAGTCACTTTGAGATAGGAATTGCATCATGGAAATAGTTAACTGAAAACCAGACAATTAAGACTTATGTGGAGATGAAAGATAGAAACCGGTTCTGTAATTATGGCTTCATATTAGTTTTATTATTTATATCTTCAACGTGTATTTAAAATCATTTTGCTAATGAAAATTGTTACATCCACTATATAGTAGGCAAGTGACATGAGGAATTGATCCAGAATTACAGCCCTCCTCCAAGGCTCTCATGACCCAAGTATGTAAATTGTACTCCTTGCCACTATCCGTATTCCACACCCACCCCTTGCAACATTAAACTGCCAAACACCACCCAGGAACGGATTTCCTATTTCATCATTTAAACCCATTATCTTGTCCCCTTACTATCTTGCCAAACTGGTTTCCCTCCACTTACATTTTTGAGACATGATGTGGCAAGATAACAAGTCTAGACTATATAAATAGATAGTTGGGTCTTCAAGTTGAAGCGGAGGACCAAAAGGCAGTGGTCCTCTTCGTTTGCTGAAAAGAGTACCGCCTAAGCTTATAATCTCAAGAGATCCTCTAATTCCAGAGCATTTCCTTTTGTTTTAAAGCGTGCCCAAGTAGTAGTAGTACACAGCAAGCTGTCCAACTGACTGCAAGGCAAAAGACCAGCAGTTTGGGGGGGAAAAAAAGAGTGCAGCATATTCTGTTAAAGTTGGAACCTTTGCCTAACTTGCCAATTAGAAAACGGTTGACTTGGTAAAGATGAACTTAATCTCTAGAGTGTGTTTACATGTCCAATGACAGTTGGGATCTTGGAGTTGATATTTTGAGTGAACAAACCAGGGAGAGGGGTTGGGGTGGGGGGAAGCCCTCTCGATTCGTCTCAGAGGGTTTTGTTGGCTCTAACCAGAGTTGTGGAGATGGGAAAGTCTCCACCCATGCCCCCAATTATCTGTCCATCCAAACACTTCAGAATGTTATCTTTTTAAATGTCAGGCATTTGGCCACTGTTCTACAGAGTAAGATTTATCTAGAAATGACTTGTCAAGACAAGCTTGGTGAGTAACCAGGGATAAAAGGTGATGTTATCTCAGAAGGCTGCCATTTAGTGACATGCCCTCATTATGTTATTTAGGTCATGCATCCCCGCTTTAGCATCCTCCCAAACATAGAAGATATTGAGTATGTGTCCTCGGGAAGCTGCTAGTGGTAATTGATAGTGACTTGGTAAAATGTAGACAGTGACTGCGGAGAGCTGAACGGGAAAAGTAGGCTGGTGACATAATGCTTGGGGTGAGTCCTGGGGCTTAAAGGGACAGATTTCTGGAGGATGATTAGCCCATTAGAGGAGTGACTGAAGACACCAGTATGAATAGTGGTAAAATGGGGGTGGACTTAAAAATTCCCACAGGACTGTTTTTCATTCATGTTTCGCTGTAAAGCTTTCTGATAATAATACAAGGTTGGAAGGGGAGGTGGGAGGGGGAAAGGGGGGCTAACCTGGATTTAATCCCCTCAGAGTTGCTCAAACCAGAATGACTGTTCTCAGTCAAAGCACCACTTAACTGCCTCTCAGATGATTCTAAGAAAAAGTGTCTTTGTAACAGCCTCAGGAACTGATTTCAAATCCCAGGCCTTTGTCTTTCATCTCTCTGTTCTTAGGGCTCTGGGTAGTGCCACATCTGGTGGTGGTTTGTGTGAAAGGAAATAATATATATATAATAGTTTCCTGTTTGGTCATTTAAACCTATCCCTGTGCTGGACAGAATTTGACCCACTTCACTCAGTAACAAAATGTCCTGTCTCTAAAGTGCCCATTATTTGCAACAGCGGGTCAGCCAAAGTGATAGTGCTTTACCACCAGCCCCAAAGCTGCCCAGGCCCCCTATTCTAACCTTTACTGTTTTCATTTACACAAATAGTATTGTTAGTAACTGAACCCGGAACTTGGAACTTATTTCTTTGAAGCATGTAATTACGTTTGACAAGAAACTCCCAAAGTCTAGTAAATATGGTCATTGTCCTTTTAATCCTTTTTGGAGCCAGATTTCATTTTATTCCTGAATTTAAAAACTATCAGCTTTATAATTTATTGTGCAAAGACTGGCAACACAAAAACATGCTAATAATAAAATGAAACATATTTAATATTTTGAATTCTCTTTCTTTAATTTGGCTTTAGTTTTCTTGCCCTGACAGTTTTCTTACTTGACAGTCTTGCCCTGGAGGTTTTTCGCTTATTTACTTGCAGAGGTGACTGTTTTGTTTTGTTTTGTTTTTTCTCTCTGGACATGTCAGTTTGTGGTACTGAATATCTGAGAGGACCATAGAATTCGTGACATTATTTCTGTATATTAGAATCTCTTCACACAGCAAACTCTTCAACTACAGAATGATCACTGACCATTCCTAAATCTGTGTATATGTTTGGGGGAGAAAATCTGTTCTACAACCATCACTTCTTTTTATTCTAGTCTCTTAAGCTAATTTCAATTTCTTCCTCCTTAGAGATGTTAGAAATGTATGGATACATCATTTTAGTTTGGTTCTGCTGAAATGTTTATGTTAAAACAGAAAGAAATGTTTGTAGTAACACAATATGAATGTGTAGGACAGGAGTGAGCAAACTATGACCCTTGGGCCAAATGTAGCCAGCAGTGTACAGAGGTTTTTACATTTTTAAAGGGTAGTGGGTTGGGGGAAAAACCAAAGAATATGGAACAGAGACTATATGTGTCTCACAAAATTTAAAGTATTTACTATCTGGCCCTTTACAGAAAAGTTTGCAGATCTGCAGCTTGGGCTGGCATCATGTGTTCAGGTTTAAAGCCTTAACATTTAGAGCAGCTGGTATCTCTTTGAACTTTAGGCTTGGACTCTTATGGACTACTGCCTGCTGTACCAGGGTAAATTATACTCTATTTATTCTAGTGTACTATTTAGTTGACTAGATGTTAGTACTATTTATATAATCTAGTGGTTTCCAATTCTGGCTGCATTTTTAAATCATCTGGAGAGCTTTAAAAACACTGTTGCCTAGGCGCCTACCCCAGAGATCCTGATTTCAGGATCTGAAGGAGAACCTGGGCATAGGTGTTTTCCTACCTTATCTTCAGAAAGATTGATTCTAATGTTCAAGCAGGTCTGAGAACCACAGGCCTAAACCACTTAATGGTCTATTCATGGATTAACAACTATCCCATATTCTTAGGCAGTTTTTATTCACATTGTTCATTAGAAATATAATAAAGATGAATTATACAAATTGCTCTTTAATTTCAAAACAGAAGTGTTGCTGAGGGAAATTTTAGCTGAGACAACTTTGAAATGTGAGGAGCATATGAAACAGATAATGCAGAGCCCAGAGAAATAGAATTTAAAAGATAGGAACTGAAAGGAACATGCCGGAAAAAAAAAGAAAAGAAAAGAAAAAAAACACTCAGAATCTCAATACACAAATCACTGAGTAGATTTCTTGCTGTCTGGGTAAGTGTATCTATTTTCAAAAGTGCTATTAACATAAACAGAGCAGTAAATCTGGGGCACCATAGTTTTTTTTTTTTTTTAAGTTGTTAAGAAGAATTATATCAGTCTGCAGGTGTCACACGCAGTTACTCAGAATCAGAAAGAAGGCTGATCGGGGGTTAGAAGATCTCCATCTATCTAAATTTTTGCAACCAACCACGTCCAGGCTGTTTATTTAATACTTCCTCTTGCTAATGAAGATACTCGTTGGGGATGGGTCGGGCTTTCCCATCTCAGCATAAGACTGCAAGATTTGAACGTGCCCTGGTGCTGGCTTCACTGACCACAGCAGGTACCCCAGGCAAGAATCTGAGCAGTAATAACAGGTAACAACAGAGTGTGCATCAGATCTCTGACACTTTTCCTTCCAGTTTATTTCCTTTTTCTCCCTCATTTACCACCGTGTTCTTTTCCCTCTTCTTTTTACATTTTTCCAAACCAGCAAGTGCGGAGGCAAGACACATCAAAGCAGAGATGGGAAGTGAAAGAGCTCTCGTTCTGGACAGATTAGCAAGCAATGTGGCAAAACGAAAAAGCTCAATGCCTCAGAAATTCATTGGTAAGAATACGACCCTTTTTCCTGCTGTTGTTAGTAGATAGTTTAAATGAGATAACGTAGGATGTTTATATACTACACAGGCCCTTAATCTCTGTTAAAATAAGATCATTGGTTTTCCATTGTACACGTTTATTCTTCGTGCTTCATTTTGATAACTAGGGCAAATAGAACAAAATATTTTAACTGAATAATCTTAACTCCTGATGGTGGGAGTATTTGACATCCAATTTCCTAAATGGAGTTGGTGTTAAAAATGCTGTTCCTTCCTCTTTATTCTGAATGACATATGTTGCATGAGAGAGTTTAGGCAATTGAAACCAGTAAGATGTTTGAGATAGCATTTTTGTAATCTTTTGTAATTATATTTTACAAGTGGGTTCCGTAACCATGCCCCAACTTTTTTCACGTTCTAAAACTAATTGCCATACTTTCCCTTTTTCTTTTTCATACTTTCTTGAATTTAATTGAGGATTGGCTTTAAGAGAAAGTTGGGAAAACATAGATTTAAATAACAAGTCTGGATTCAATCATTTGTCTCACTGGAGTTAATTTTTTTTGCCACCGGTTTTCACATTGTCAAACAATACAGCAGAATGAAATGGCAAAGAAAGAATTATATTCTTTAAAGTGTTCAGGCTGCTGAACGGCAGAGATGTTTTGCCCAGCTCTCCCAGATGTTTACATAAATGTGACCATGGTATTTAAAATAGATTTGTATTTGTGAAGGGGGCAGCTGAATTGAATGTATCAGTTTTGCTATAAACTGAAATTTGGCGATATCGAACAAAAATAGCTATCACATGAAAATAGATCTCCCTCAAAACCAGTAGAATTTTAGAAACCTGTCAATCTCTTTTTCCAAAGCTATTTGGTGCTGCTGATGTCTTACTACGGTCCTTTTGTGCTTAATTCTTTTCAGTAGCTTTTATAGATACTAAGTACCTGCCTAGTTTTTAAATCTGGTTAAATTTTATTCTGGTCTAGATCTTTTTTTACAAGCAGATATTTTATATGTGTTATAGACACATATTGAAAGAACTAATATATTTTTAAATTACCTAGGTAAATATTTATGCTCGTTTAAGTGCTTATGTCTTATTTATTTTATTGTGATTAGCTGGGGAGTTTTGTATCCTTTTAATCACTTAAAGAATTGTGTCAGACTAAATAAAGTTGGTGCATTTCAGTTTAGAGAGACACACCCCTCCACCCCCCACCCCTGTTACCATCTTCCCCCTCCTTTGTGAGAAATGTCAGGGGGCATGTAGTCACCTTCATTTGGGGTTTAGGAGCAGTAGATCAAGTGGGCCAATTGTGATTCCAAGACATGATCTTAAGACATTGCTCATACATCTTTTGATTTCCACTTCTGTGAAGAAGTTCTGACTGGAGTCAGAACAAAGGAAAGTAGAGGTTTTTATTCTATGAGTATAGTTTACTTTGTAATTTGATTTGGGGAAAGTTTTGACTCTAGAAATGGCTGTGCTTGATGTGGAGAGGGACATGGGGAGAAATGGGCAAGGAAAAAAAATGTGAAGTGACTCAATTTCAATGGAATTACGGTCAAGGCTCTTTCGTCTAAGAGAACTAACATATGAAAGAAGATGCTTGGTTCCTGTAACTGTCCTACACCTATAGTTCCTTTGTTGTTGTTGTTTTGTTTAGTTTTTTAAATATTTTATTTATTTGACAGAGACGCAGCGAGAGAGGGAACACAAGCAGGGGAAGTGGGAGAGGGAGAAGCAGGCTTCCAGCTGAGCAGGGAGCCCAGTGTGGAGCTCCATCCCAGGACCCCGGGATCATGACCTGAGCTGAAGGCAGACACTTAATGACTAAGCCACCCAGGCACCCCTGTTTTGTTTTAAGATTTATCCATTTATTTGATAGAGAGCACAAGCAGAGGGAGAGGGACAAGCAGGGAGCCCTGATGCAGGGATCCATCCCAGAACCCTGGGATCATGACTTGAGCCAAAGGCAGACATTTAACCAACTGAGCCACCCAGACGCCCCTGTCCTAACCTATAGTTGAGCTGAAACTCTACTTAATATAATAAAATTTGCTGTGGTATTTTCATGGGTTTAAGAAAACACATTTCCTATGTCCAAGTCCATGCCATTCTGCTTGTTGCATCAGGGATCTGTTCCATTTGTTACCCTTGTAAGCAGAGGATTTTTACTCCTTCATTTCCAGACTCAGGAGAGATGCTTACAGGTGCTGATGTCTCTCATCTTCAGAACCATTATGTTCTCTCTATGCTGGAATCGGGAAACCCAGTAAGAGTTAGCTCTTGATTTAAGCTGAGGTAGCAACTTCAGGGCTTCAGGGCCCTGAGTAACCAGGGGAAATTTTGTTTGGTAAATTGTGGTATTGCACAGTAGGAAGAACACTGGATTTGAAGCCAAATGACCCAGGTTCTGATTCTAGCTCAGTCATTTCTTAACTATGTGTGTTTAGACAAATCACATAACCTTTCTGGGCCTCTGTTTACTCATCTGTGAAATGAGGAGACTGAATAAGTGATGAGGTGATTGGGAAGGTCCCTCCCAGCTCTATCATTCTACAAGTCTGCAAGATGAATTAGCAAAGGCTGCAATTATGAATACCATTTTGTGTTTCTAAGCCCATATGTGTAGATTCAGGTAACTGTTTTCTCAAGGTTATACAGGCAAGATGTTTATGTTATGAACCATGTCATATACTTTAGGTTTTTTTGTTTTGTTTTGTTTTGTTTTGTTTTTAGGAAGGTGTGGTTAAATCTGGGAATCTGTAAAACAGCTGCATTAGCCCGACATTCATCTCTTTTACTGAGGGCATTACTGCTTGTTCATTTGCTCTCTCACCCACCCATTCATTCCCTTCAGGAAGTGGCGACAGCGCTCCCGCCATATCCACGATATTCTTGTTCCTGAGCCCTGTTCTAATCTTTTGGAATTAGCTTGTTATAAGAACCTTCCTTTTAGAGATCGTTTTCAAATAAAGGAAACCCCTTGAGTCATTAATAGAATCAACCTTTTTGATAGAAAACAGTAATACTAGGGAGAGAGAAGGAGCATTTTGACCCTGAATGGGATAAGAGCTGCAGAACATACAGGGCTAATGTTTTCCCTCCTCTTCTCTTCTGTCTCCTGTATTTCCTCTCCACGGCAGCGTCTTCTGAAAAGATTCAGCTGCCAGAGAAATGGCAAAAAGTAAAGTGTGAAGGAAGAATGAGTCACTCCCTTTAATCCTTGCTGACAGTTGCACAGCATTCAGACCAACCTTGGCTTCCCTGACCTCTTGAACTATGAGGGTAAAGGTGAAATTATGCCTTCAGGGCAGCCTGCTACTTTTTCAGCAGGCTCAAGAGAATTACCAGTAGGTAGCATTTTTCACACATTAGAAGTGAACTGAGGAAGAGAGACAGATTGGGTTAAGTCTAAGTGCATTTACAAAAACACTCCTCTATTGAAGAGTAAAAGTAAAATTAAATTGCCCATGTAGACGAAAAATAAAATCCTTTCTTTCCTAATTCTCCAAGAAATTTTGTTTCATTCTCTGTTTTAGGACATAAATTGACATACCTTCATTAGAAATCAGCATCTTTACATCATCAAAATAATTCTTCATTGCTCTTTTCGAAGGACACAATGGCTCACTTTTAGCACCTAACCCTTTTAAAAGTTGTCCTTTCTCTGCATCTTATTCTCCTATTATAAACTTGTTTGACTAGACTTCTAACTAGGCCATCTTCAAATACTTGGCTCAAAATAGAGGCCAGATTTCTCTCCTGGAGGGAGGAGGAAAATGACTACATTTCTGCATATTTCTTTTTCTGATTTTCATTTTTTCTCCAAAAACAGATGTGTTATTCCGACCAAAGTGGTTACCATAGCATCTCCTTATTATTTTTAATTTTATGTATTATTTTATTAAAGGAAGTTTTCATGTTGAAAAAGAACATGAAAAAAGATCTCACTCACCCGCGGTAAACATGTTAGTGAGGTTTTGACACTTCAACAAACACCATCAATTCTCCCTGTGAAGTAACTAATGAGAAATTGTCTGCTTTGGTTAACAGAGCGACAGGAAACAGTTTGAATACCCGTTTCTAACAGCAGAAAGTATCTTCTACTACCCTTTCCCAAAGGGCTGAAATTATAATCCTATAAGTACTACAGAATCATATAACGTTTTAGAGCTTGAAGGGATAGCAGGAACACCCAGCAGAGGTCTTTTTCCAGGGAAGGAGGGAGGATTGGAGAGATGGAGAGATGCACCTAGTGGGTGACAGAGCAGGGTAAGGACCAAGGCCTAGGACAAGCTACAGTCCAAGGCCTTCTTTCCCTGGGAAGTCACCCTGAGCAGCGTGTGTCATGTGTGCTACACCAAGGCTCTGGACAGCGAGGAATGTAGTCACTGAAAGCTGGTGGAAGAAAAAGCCCCTGAAGAAGGGCCGTCATTTCCCGCCCAGAGGGTGTATTTTCTTGAGAAAAATAGTTTTCCCCTGGTGACTCCGTCGGAACCGGTGACATCCAAATAGCTCCTCTCGTAGATGACAAGGCTTCTGCCGCAACAGAACATGGTCTTCACCTCAGTTTTCCTCACCCCCCCCACCCCACGGCTCTCTCTGTGTTTGCTCTCCTTCCTGCCTATTCTGTGGCTCCCTTCTACTTTCCTCCTCCTGGAAGAAATGTTGGTCACATTACTCTCATTTAGCTTGAGAGCAGAGCCATCACCTCACAGATATTCCATTTACCCTCCTGCCTGGCCCCCAACTCTTCTGGGGCATGAGCTTATAGTAAGAGTAAGCGATAGTGCACATGGGATGTGGTATGAAGGTACAGTTCAGGGACGCATGGGTGGCTCAGTGGGTTAAGGCCTCTGCCTTTGGCTCGGGTCATGGTCTCAGGGTCCTGGAAACAAGCCCTGTGTCAGGCTCTCTTCTTGGTGGGGAGCCTGCTCCCTGCCCCCCTGCCTGCCTCTGCCTACTTGTGATCTCTCTCTCTCTGTCAAATAAATA